CCTACATATCACCAATCCATCCATCCATCCATCCATCCATCCATCCATCCATCCATCCATCCATCCATCCATCCATCCATCCAGCCAGCCAGCCAGCCAGCCAGCCAGCCAGCCAGCCAGCCAGCCAGCCAGCCAGCCAGCCAGCCAGCCAGCATCTTTTACCTGCTTTTTACTTTTTGGGGACCAGTAAAGTTTTAAAACACAGTTTGCTAGGATTAACAAGTCCTGGGTGTGATGAAGTCATGGGTGTGTGGACATGTTTTACATAGAGGGTGCTGTGAACACATGCAAAGTGAGAAAATCTGTACAGTCCCTAACAAGAAGGCGACCAAATAGGAACTGATTTTCCACCTATTAATGTGTATTTATCATGAAAAATTGAAATTGAAATTGAAAATTTAAATTTCTTTACTTATTTACCTATTTCATTCTTTTTAATTTTCTAAGTTTATAATATTTCTTGTCATCCACAAGAGGTTGCTGTAGCACCTTCAGAACCCCCCAGTTCCAAAAGGTTTGTGCGTAGTACGGTAAGTCACTTAATCAAATAATTCAAGAAAATCTTTATGACCATAACTCAGTTCTTTCTAATCAAAATGAGCACTAGAGATGTCAAATATAATGGTCAACATGTCAGAAACCAAAGAGGGCATTCTTTCAGGACAAATGATGTCACTTTTCACCTTTAAGTGTTTTAAACTTTCAGCACCAGAAGTAAATTGAAGCAACACATCCAAATATTTATATATTTTTACTCTTGCCTCTTAGAGGGTGGAAACAACTCTTCAACTTAATTTGGTGGTAAAGAGGAAATTCGGGGAGGTTTGAAAGTACTTCTAACTAATACTGATTTTTATTGATCAATCTGAAGCAGTTTTGTTTTGATCTGAATCTTCATGGAAGGATGAAGATGGTGAAACAGACACTTTTTGCCCACATGTGCTTTAATCTATTCACATTTTCTGTCTAGAATTATTGTAAATACATGATATTTACAATCCCATTGTTACTAGTCACTCATTTAATTTTAGACCCACAAAATTCAAACTATTTCCAATATTTCTAACATAATTTTGAATAAAAAAATGTAAACATGCCATTTAGAATGTTCAGTATTTATATAATGGCTTTTCAAAAAAGCAAAAAATATTAGAATATTGATATGAACATATCATTTGTTCTGCAAAGAGATGTTTGAGAAATTTGAAATGTTGATTGTAAATTGAAATAAATCTCTTAGATTTATGAATTGTTTCTTTGAATAGAAAGACTTGAATTATAGATATCTGCAACACACCGTATCTTCATCCAAACACTAAAATAATCACATGAACTTATAAAATATAGGGTCCTATATTTGGATGTTTTTAAATGAAGTCTCGCTTGTGACTATTTAATTTTTATCAACATAAATGCTATTTAAGATTTCCTTAATTTCTGTCTGGGCTTGTAAGTACTGAAGTACTGTAACAAGCAGAAAGGCTATTATTAAAGAAGAAATATTAGCAGTTTGAATATATGTGCTGTAATGATCTACCAAAGAGGTTATTTTCTACAAAATGTATTATTATAACACTTTTCTGCATGTTGTTTTTTTTATTATTTTTAATTAGACCTAACTTAATTTAACAATTTTGACAGTAAAACACTTCATCGACAAGAAAACAGACCAGTGGTTCAGAGTAAAATGTTTGCAGCGTGTTGACCTCCTTGTATGGATTACTGTACCTGTGATTGATTTCGGTGACAAGGTCGACAGGCAGCGACCATAATGAAGGAGAAAGTTATAGCAAGAACGGCAGCACATGACAGGATGAAGAACAGGTGAGGGGGATCTGCAGGTGACAAATCATGTTGCAAAATGAGTGGTCCAAACATCAAGCTCACACAGAAAAGAGAAAACTAAACGATTTGTAAACAATTGCAACAGAAAACTCAAGATAGTTTCTGATAAAAGATGGGAGAAGTACAATATTAAAGGAAAACTTTCGGCTTTGAAGATTTTCTGTGAACAACCACGTTTGTAATTTTGTGTCTGTATGAAAGAAATTATTTGGTCTGCAGGTCGGACAAATCTCCAGAGCGATCTCATCTACTCCCATTCAACACGTCAGGAATGGGCATCAGACTTATTATTTTTAGAACATTGGGTCTCAACTTTAAATGAACCATCACGAGAGAAGCGATGAAGAAAGCAGAGACGTGACGAGTCATCGAAGACGTTTGATTCTGAGCTCACACATTTGTGTAGTGACTTTTGTATGCAAAAGCCACACATCACTTTTAATTTGATAAACATTTTTGACTGGAAACAGCAAAATAATAATAATAATAATAAGAATTATATACATACCCTTTAATTAAAAAATAGTTTGTTTATTGATCATAATTTTAATGAAAAGCAAAAAGTATAAAAAGCAGAAATTTGATTTGTTAAATGCATGAAAACATTTAACATTGACATTTAAAAAAATGCATTTGTTTGTTTTACACATTACATTTTGACAAGAAAATGAAATTGCAGCAGTTCCAGTGTTTGTCCACCAGAGGTCGCTCTGCCTGCACAGCTGCACCCAATCACCCGAGGAGCTCCAGAGGTATATGAACCTGAGATCATCCATCCACCGCTGGAGCATTACCTCTACTACGGTTTGAGCTCTCAGTCTTCTAATGTTTCTCTGAGCCTTGTGAACTCTAATATTGTGATTCCTCTTTCAGTGTGCTTGCTTGAGTCTCTGCTGTGGACGCTGGACTAGCACTGAGGCTTTCCATACACATAGTTTGACTCATGATCCGATGCGCCATGGCGCTTCGTTTGCTCTACTGCGCCATCAAGTGGACTATAAATGTAAAACAGGTAGATGGATTATATAATACTGGTTTGTGAAAATTTAGGTTGAATAAAAGAATAAAAAATCATGTTTGAGGACCTCAAATAAAGTCTAGATTTGATCTGCAAATGCTCTTAATGTGTCTTTATCATGATGGTGATTATGGATTTTTCTATCTGAACCTTATATTTTGAATCTCGCTCGTACAAACGAGCCAGTTCCTGAATCGGTCACATGGTACAGCCCGCTAGCAAGGCCTCGAATATCACTATGCATCATCAATACATGCCTTGATACACGCTCCACATAAATCCTCCTGGATTACTCGACCAATGCATCAAAGCCTCGACACAGAAGGACACATCACTACCCTGGGACCCATAGACCTGCATACACCCTCCAGCTGTTCTCCTATGTTCTTGTTCTTCATGTCTCTAGTGATTTACTGGATCCTCTCACTTGGATTGTTTCTGGTTAGAACCAAGGACGGACCTAACACCACATGTACGGAACTGAAAATCTATATTTGAACCACTTTGGCCATGGCTGCCTCAGACGAGTCGACGGGGGAGAGGGTGGACTCCAGAAACCATCTTAGCACCATCAAACTAGTTGACCCACTATGTAAAGGTGCTATTTATAACACAGACTTTGTTGTGGCTCCTCGAACTTATGGCTTTTGGATGAAAGACAAAACATATCAATACAAAAAAAACGTCCAGAGGACCTGACTTGATGGCTTTTTTTTTAACCTGGATTATTGAGCATGAACTTTGTATCATGTATTGTTACTGCGTCTTTTTCTATTTTCTAAGCAAAATCATCACCACACAGCTTTAAAGAACCGATAAGTGCTCATAGCAATGTGGTATTGTTGATATAGTGGGAGAAAATGCAATAAAATTGAGCCAAGGGTGTGTTGTGTCATTTTGTGAAAAGGCATTTTATGCACTCAAGAGTGTAATCACATATTGTATTTAATAAATTTACCAAGTATTTTCTACTTCCTAATCAAACCACGGGTCTACTGTATTCACCATCAAAAATAAAAAAAAGTAGTAAAGAACTCAGGCAGAGTGGTGGAAGTTAAATAAAGCTGCACTTGTTGAAAGGTGAGAAGACCTTAAATGATTACGTATCACATCAGATGGATAACAGAGTCAGTAGTGTGGACACTAGGGGTTGAACGACTACATAGTTCTTTAAAGTCGACTTCAACGTGATAAAAGTCGACTAGTCGATGTGACGTCACAGGAACTCAAGACGCTATTCGCAAAAAAAACGTCATTTATTATTTACAACAACAAACAAAACAAAAAAACAACAAAACAGTGGGAGCTAATATTTATGTTCCTACCATTTATCATACGAAACAATTGGGGAGTGGTGGCGCAGCGGTTAGAGAAGATGGGCCTGTGATCGGAAAGTCGCAGGTTCAACTCCCGGTACTGTCAACATCAAAAATGTGGGTGGAAAAGGGGAAACATCCACACCTGCCTCCACCTTCATTTGCTCCACTCTGGGCCCCTGAGCAAGGCCTTTAACCGCCACCATCTGCTCCTAAACAGGTCTCTCTTGAAAATGAGTTCTCGTGACTCAATGAGACTACCTGGATAAATAAAGAGTAAATGAAAATTACAATTTACAATAAGCCACAGGAAAACCAAAACTATCATTAAGCTGCAAAAGTTAGTTTTATTTTATTTAATCCACTAAATACAATAAACCACGGCGGCGGTGGTGGATTCTCCACCGCCACTGGTGCGCCCCCCTGTTTTTATTTTTATTTTATTTAGTGGATTAAATAACATAAAACAAAAAACAGCGGGGCGGGCGGTTGAACCGGAAGACTCATCTTTAGTGCAATACTTCCACACTATTGATGAATTTCTACCTGTTTGGGAAGACTTGGCCTGCTCCTCGCCCTCCGTCTGCTTGGAAGAATCCGTTTTGTAGCCAAGGTCGCGGCGCAGATCACGTGACACAATCACCGACTGCGACTAGTCGACGTGAAATCTAAAACCTCGCGAGATGTCCTAGAATCGACTAGTCGATCCAACTCCTAGTGGACACACTTCTGATCTCTTGTCGCACCACTTGTTGACCACATCAGACTCTTAGTGAGCAAGCCTGGCTCTACCGCACGGGCAACCTGGGCACGTGCCCAGGGGCCCTTGGCACAGAGGGGGCTGTGGTGTAAAGTGCTTTGAGTATCTTGACTAGATAGAAAGGTGCTATATACAAAAAGTACTGTCCATTTACCATTTATTTTAATTTACAGAATACCGTGTTAGCCTCAGAAGACCAGGTGAAAGATCTGATTATGGATGTGAGCTTAGTGAGAGGTTGGACGATCTGGCTGTAATCTTTAATAAAACCATCTGTAAAACTTAGCAAACCCAAGAAAGTGTTAGAGTTGTTTACGATTCTCGGGAACTGGCCACTCAGACGCTGCCTGGATTATTTTTTTTGGCTCTGTCTGAGCCTGCCCACTCTCGAAAACATATCCAAGGACATGGAACTCGCACTTCTCTGCCTTTATGAATAAAAAGTTCTCTAGGAGTCTTTTGAAGTACAGATCTAACATGCTTGTTGTGTTTCCATGGGTCCCTGGAATAAATCAATATGACATCCATCCATGGGTTATGGATTTGTTGCAGGTGGCCGTTCCAGGAGATGGATCCAAGGAGAATTCAGAGAGCAGGTGTTAGCTCGAGGTAAGGAGCTGATAGCAGGAGCATAGTTTGGACAAAGTTCCAGTGGAGCCTAATGGCTCCAAACAACCTTAAGTACTGTAGGACCTTATCAGCTGATGGGAGATGGCTGGTTGTAATTGGCTCCGCCCTTCTTCTCAGGAGCTGGAAAAGTGTAGTGGATGGAAAAACCGCAGAATCCCTAAATGTTTTCTCTTTCTGCAGACATTTAATTCCTCCCAAAATGTGCCTCTATACGTCCCCGTGTAGTAAAATAAAACTTTTTGTTTATCTTTATTCCCTGCCACAGAAGTCATTACCAGTCACTTGAATTATGTCCATTAAAATAATCTCAACATTTTGACACTGACACCCAATACAACAATCCTCTGAAAATGTGTATCTGGGCAACATGTGGGTGCCATCAAAGACCCAATAGTTACAATGCGGAGCCACTGGCACATCGGTGTACCCCAACTGTTGAGCGATTATGCAATACCCAGTTTTAAGCAAACTTTTAATGTGAATCCTGTCAAAATGTTGCTAATAATGCTTTCTTACTCATCAACAAGCCATCCTCTGGTTTTTTATGACTTTCACTCACTATTTTGACTCACTATTGTATAGTCCAGCAACTACCTGATAACACAGTGGCTCCTCTTGTGATGTCACCACTATGTCCTCTGGCGCTAATTAGCGCCAGCTCCTTGCAAACCAAATCATTTTTATCTCTGATCGGCATGTGATCAAAAAATAAGAAGTATTATTTCTAATGGGAGCTCAACTTAGTTTTTTCAGTGAGTGTAAAATGTTGTAATCAGTTTTTTTTATCACTGCTTCTCTTTAGTCACTTTAGTCTTCCTCTATGAAAATAAACATGTTGGACTTCACACGTCTGAGTGTGTTTACTCACCGTTCCTGCTGACATAGAGGCTGAAGGAGGTCTGCAGCTTGCTGATGTCGTTGTGGACACTGATGTCCAGACAGTGGACACCAGCAGAGGTAAAGGTGTGGTTCAGCTGCAACGTGTTCTCATACAGCATGGCCAGCGTGCAGCCCACCATCACGTCAGGCTCACAGTTTGTGAGGAAATGCCAGCACACCCACATTGGAGGACTGAAGACACAAAACGGAAAACTACAAAGTTAGAAATGCATTTTAAAAAGGGAAAAAAGTTGTAGACTTTTGTGTTTCTACATTTTTCCACATATATAAATCAAATATGTTCAGTGACAACAAGACACTAAATTAGCCAAATGCATCTTACCTTCCATCAACGTGAAAATCCAAACTGGTGTTTTGAGACACTTTATAATCCAAAGGTCCCTTCAGTTCAATGTTTTTGATGGCATCTGCAGATTTATTTTAGTTATTAGTCATTTTATGATTGTAGCACAACTTGTACCCACATAAAGTGATATCTTAAGAAATATTGTCAAATTTTCATATTTAAAAGTAGATAAAGCTAAACCAACTGGATGGAATGAGGCATATTTGTGGTTAACAGATAAAGACGATAAAAGTTTTGTCCATAATAAGAAAAAGTGCAAACAAAGATGCACATCAAACTCATAACAAGGATCTGTAAAGCCTCTAATAATGAAAATGATCAATTAATTAACTCTTTAAGTGAGTCTTTAAATTACATCTGTCTGGGTTTTGTCAATAAAATTATATTAAATACCTACAGCTATAGCGTTCCTTACTTTAATTCATATAAACAGCCAACGTTTTAGACTACGGTGATTTTATTAAAAGAAATTAAGCTGATTTGAATGAATAGAATTGTTAAAGGAGCATAAACAAAATGTCTTGAATGACAAAGTCAAGATCTGTGTTTGAGAACGTCTCAGAGTTGAATTTCAACTGGACAAACTGATGAGCGTTAACAGAGAGTTATCAGAAATGTTTATTTGGACACAGCAAAATAGTCACTTTAATAAAATATGAGCATAATACATTTAACAGCTTAAAAGTGTCTATTTAGTTAGATCTGTAAGACTAAATCATCTTTAATTGAAGTCAATCACAATTATTCATAATTTTATTTAGTTTTTATTGTTTTAGTTCATAATAATGCAGAAATAAATTAAAAAAAGTGGAATCTGCAAATTGTCAGTATCAGTTTTAAAATAGTTTATAGCCGTGAGCGCCTAACAACATAAAAAAAAAAAAGGATCATGTTTTTGAAGCCATTCTCTTAGATTAATTTTTAAGACAAGTAAACAGTCTTCATCATCAGTCTAGCTAAAAATGCATTCAGAGCCAGTGACATCAGCAGAACTTTATTTAGTTCCAATACATAAATAAAAATGCAACTCAATAAAAAGTTTTAGTTTTCCAGCTGCAACAAGTTGCCTGCATGCAATAGAATCAAACAACTAACCAAGGACTTGAACATCTGTAGAGAAGACTCCGGTGATCGGAGGTGAAGATCTGCTCACATTCACTCCGACTTTCAGCTGCACGGTGTAGTTCCCCGATTCTGAGTAATGATATCGAACAACTGGTTCTGTCCCGTGGATCACGTCTCTGCATCAAAGAAACAAATCAAAATAAGAATTAAAAAACACACCAGAAATCTCCTGAACGTCTGAGTCTCAACCAGCCTTGTACCCGTTCCCTAAGTCCCAGCTGTAAGTGAACGCTGAAGAGCTCAGATTCTTCGGGGGATCGAGGAGTTCGAACATCGCTTCTGTGGCAACATCTGATGCCAGCTCTCTCGTGTCTCTCACGAAAATAACGTTTCCCTCCATTTGGTAGAAGACAAGCTTCCCTGCAACATTTTCTGGTGAGGAAATAAAGATGCTGAATGACATGCCCAAATCTGCCCAAGGGTCAGAAGCCCCCAGTACCACTGGGAAAACCGTTAGAAGAAATATTAGAGTCCATGCAGGAGGTTCTCTGTAAGCAGACATACAAAAGTGTTGTAAACATTGTAAAATGTGTTAAATCAATATTCCAGGTGTTTGAGTTACCTGTCCATATCTGCTGGTTTTCTCCTTTGAACCTTTCAGATGGGAGTGGATGGAGATGAGTGATTAGAGGGAAGACTGATTCATTCTGATCTCTGAGAATGGGAGCGTGTAAGTGAGAACTGGAAAAGCTTGAAATCGTCCCCATGCGCTTCAGTCATGTGGCTGAAGGGAAACACAAACAGCTTTTGATGAGGGCCTCAACCTGGATGATCATGTGTCTGTGCCAGTATGTCATGAACCACTGGACAAGTTTGAACAAAACCTTCAGGAAATAAGCATTGTACGACTACAACTGACTAACTTTGGAGCCATCCAGTTCTGAACAAACCATCAGTCAAGATCAGGAGGTTGTCGCCAACACAAATTTTCAGGACCAGTGGGTTAGAAATTTGTCTAACAGTACATTGACACAACCTGAGAAAGATGTGCTGTCAAAAGGACTAAACTTTGCCGTCTCCCCACAAGAAATACCTGTTGTGGAACTAATCACGGCCACTGAATCCTCGATTATGAATGATTATGAATTATGATGAACTCAGTGACATACAATATTGCTAAACATCTGGCTGGTATTTTAGCTCCTCTTGTTGGAAACACACCTCATCACATAAAGAACTCCATTGATTTTGCTAACAAAATTCAACATTTCAAACTAACCCCAGGAGAAACCCTTGTATCGTATGATGTGACTTCTCTTTTCACATGCATACCCATCTCTGAAGCAGTAGAAACCGTCAGAAAACAACTTCTACAAGACAAGGCCTTAATCAACAGGACCAACTTCACCCCGGACCAGATCTGCACCCTGCTGGACCTCTGCCTCTCCACCACTTATTTCAAGTTCAATGACAGTTTTTACAGACAGAAGCACGGCTGTGCCATGGGATCTCCAGTGTCACCCATTGTTGCCAATCTCTACATGGAGGAAGTGGAACAGAGAGCCCTACACTCCTATGAGGGAACTAAGCCAAGCCATTGGTTCCGTTATGTGGATGACACCTGGGTCAAAATCCAAGCTAAGGAAATAGAAGCGTTCACCAGACACATTAACTCGGTCGATAACAACATCAAGTTCACCAGAGAGGATGCAAACGACAACAAGCTGCCTTTTTTGGACTGTTTGGTTCAGATGGAGAGAGAGGACAGCCTCAACATTGAAGTTTACAGAAAACCAACCCACACAGACCAGTATCTTCTGTTTGACTCCCACCATCCACTGGAACACAAACTCTCTGTCATCAGAACTTTACAACATCGGGCCGAATGCGTCCCCACGAAGACAGAAGGGAAGGAAAAGGAACTGAAGCACGTTCAAGAAGCTCTTCAAACATGTGAATATCCTAACTGGGCTTTTGTCAAGTCAGCGAGGAAATCTCCAAAACACACCAATAAACTGAAAAAGGAGAACAACAGACGGAAAAACATTGTCATCCCTTATGTTGCTGGAGTATCAGAGAAATTCAGAAGGATCTTCAACAAACACAAGATCCCAGTACATTTCAAACCCAGCAGGACTCTCAGACAGAGGCTGGTCCACCCTAAAGACAAGACACCCATACACAAACAGAGTGGTGTAGTGTATGCGGTCCAGTGCAGCGAGGACAGTCCAGACCTCTGCATTGGAGAAACTAAACAACCTCTTCACAGACGCATGACTCAACACAGGAGAGCCAGCTCTTCAGGACAAGATTCAGCTGTTCACCTCCACCTCACAGATAAGGGACACTCTTTTGAGGACCAAAATGTGCACATTTTGGACCGAGAACACAGATGGTTTGAGAGGGGGGTGAAGGAAGCAATTTATGTAAAAAGAGAAAAGCCGTCTCTTAACAGAGGAGGAGGCCTCAGATTTCCACTTTCAAAAACATATAATGCAACTTTAAAACAGATTCCC